TTGTCAATCAACACCAAGGTCAGTATTTTCAGTATAAATGTCAAGACAGTTCTACTGTATGGAGTGGAGACTTGGAGAACTATAAAAGTAATCACCAATAAGATACAAGTGTTTATTAACAGCAGTCTGTGAATAATACTTCGAATCCATTGACCGAATACTATCAGCAACAACAACCTACTGTGGGAGAGAACAAACCAGATTCCAGTAGAGGAACAAATCAGGAAGAGGCGTTGGAAGTGGATAGGACACACAATGAAGAAAGCACTCAACTGCGTCACAAGACAAGTCCTCACATGGAATCTTCAATGCCAAGGGAGGAGAGGAAGACCAAAGAACACATAACGCCGGGAAATGGAGATAGACATGAGAAAAATGAACAAGAAATGGATGGTACTAGAAAAGAAGGCTCATGACAGAGTGGGTTGGAGATTGCTGGTCGGCGGCCTATGGTCCATTTGGAGTAACTGGCGTAAGTAAGTAAGTTTTATTAGATGTGAATGATTTTATCATATATTGGTTTATCTATGCTACACATATAATGGTAAGGCACCATTGATAAAACATATAAAACGGGAATTATTATGGATTATATTTTGACCTTCAACTTTATCCTTGATTAATTATCTATTAGTGAATATATCTTTATTTGATATTTCGTTTAAAGAATCATTTTTCTAATTTATTTTTATGTTCAGTTAGTCAATTAGTATTTTAGACTTTTAGAATCTAATGTATTGAAATTTTAAGGATAAGTCTTGTGACTAACTTATCAGTTCAGTCACCTTATCTATTCCAGAAATTTAACCAAAATAAACTGAACAATGTTATGATATAGTTGAGTCAATTTAATTAGCACATTTAAATAATCTATGATCAATATTTAAATAAGGAATTAACTTGATCATTCTTTTCACTGACTATCATATATTAGTGGTAATAATTTTATAATATCAGTATGGGGATTTATGGGGATGAAGTGTTCATGTTAGACATTACCATATATAGTGCCCACAGTGTCGAGTCACCTAGACTGGTGGCCACATTGCAACATGATCGATAGCATTCGATCTACACTAATAAGGACTAGACACGCATGACATTGATCGCCACCCAGTGATCAATCAGTTGTGAGACATTACCATCATTTTGAAATATTTCCATATTGTAAATTTAGAACAACATATATAAGCGAACAATATTGTTTTCGATTAGATCTTCATCAGGCTTTACTCTAATATACAGTCATATTTATATGCTCGGTTCTATCACACTTGATCGATAGCGATCATGTAGTGGACAGAAACAAGTCATTTAAAGTTATTTGTCGTATTCCCACGAGTTTCCCTTATGGTGTTCGATCTCGTCTCTTACACATAGGAATTCGAGCCAACAAGCTAACTCTTTGTGTTCAGAAGAAATTTGTAACACCCTCCCTTGGTCTTAATAAATGAATTTCTTTATTTTTCAAGGCTTCTCTTCGTTTATTATTTTTCTTCACCCCCTCCTACCATTTCATTTTATTTTCTCTCAAATATAGGCTTCACGGTTCAATTATCTGAACATTTCTTATTACGTCATCTTATAATTTTATAAATATCATATCACTGTCTATACTTTTCTAATCATTGACCTATTTCCGATTATGTAACATGGATTTGAGCCTTTATTATCCTTATCAAAAACTAATGCACTTGTTACCACGCTACCAATTTGTACTTTTCACTTATTATGCAATCGTTTTCATAGTTATCATTGACTCATAAACTACCTTGACTGGTTTAATAATTTCATATATGCATATAAATATTACTGTATATTAGAGTAAAGCCTGATCAAGATCTAATCGAAAACAATATTGTTCGTTTATATATGTTGTTCTAAAATTACCATCATTGTCTGCCAGCTCAGTGGCCTAGAGGTTAAGCGTTCGTTCGAGAGACCGAAAGACCCGGATACGGGTCCCGAGGGCGGGATTGTGGATGAGCACTGCTGAGGAGTACCATACTAGGACGAATCGGCCATCCAGTGCTTCCAGGTTTTCAATTATGCTCTAGCTTAAATTAACTCGTCAATCCAACCGTGAAAATAATCATGTGCAATGACCATGTATAAAAGTCAATTAAAGGTAGAAACAGTTAGAAACATGTCAATTAGTTTGATTATTGTCTTAACTTTTATTAAATATTACTATCACAACTTTTGTTACCTTTATAGTATCAAAATGTGTGAATCTTATGTATACTTTATTAAAACCTCATGAAATTTCAATCTTAAATTCATTCAAAAATAAATTAGATATCTCTGAATAATAAATTGTGACCAGTGAAGTTCAACCGCGTTTATTATGAGATAGTAACTCACTGAAGACAATCGTGGATGGTGGCGCAATTTCGTGAATTGGTTGAAGTTAGACATTAACAACGTTGAATGCCAACTCAATGGTCTAGAGGTTAAGCGTTCGCTTAAGAGACGGAAGTTCCTGGGTTGGCGTTCCGAGGACAGGATTGTGGATGAGCACTGTTGAGAAGTACCATACTAGGACGACCCGGCCGTCTAGTGCTTCCAGATTTTCCATTGTCGTCTAACCTTAATTGACTCATGAACTCAACTATTAAACTACCACAATCTCCAGAAAACCCCATTGCGATAGTAAGTTTCTTTTCAGTTAATAAACAGCTATACAATTTTGATCATGATCAACTTGTTTATAATAGAAAAACATGTGAATATTCATTAAAATTGTTTCTTAAATAGTCTTTTATTATTCTACATTCTTTTCTTTTTTCGAATATTTCAGGTAAATATTATTATGGACTGAGTAAATAATATAGCAACATAACATTAGAAGAACCAACTTATTATGTTTTCTGAAATCTATCAGTTTAACTAACAATACTTTGAAGTATGTACAATTGAGAAATTGTTGCACTGATTGAAATCATGAATCAATTGAAGCTAGACCACCATGGAAATCCTGGAAGCACTGAACGGCCGTTTCATCCTAGTATGGGACTCCTCAGCAGTGCGCATCCACGATCCCACCTCGTAAGATTTGAACCCAGGACATATCAGAATATAAACAATCAATATATTTGTGGTAAAGATTGATTTGTAATAATTTTATCATACAACATGATTAACCATTTGTTTAATGAACGAGAACTCAGATGAGGACAAACAATTATGTTTTATTATGAAATCTCAGAGTTCTTTGATAAAATGTGAAAAACATATGTTCAATACATTATTTACAAATATTTCATTAACAGACTCAGACGTTATTGTTCCTTCATTGTCATACCAATTATTCTGTTGCCGTTCTCAACTTCCTGTTGTTAGGCATTCCACTTCTGATTAGTGTTACATACTACTTATGTATGTCAACTTGAGTAGCATACACCACATATGAATTGTTGTATTTTAGACCCAACTTACTAATTACTGAAATAGAAAATTCTAAGTGGGCATCATGAATGTTATCACGTATGAATAGTTATCGTAATGTTGATGGAGTTTTGTTCTCTAAGCTAGATGGTTTGATCGTGTAGCTTTTATCGTTCTTCTGAATGATATCATCAACACAAACTCCAGGGAAAAGTGTTCAAATCTCTCCACATATGGTTCACAGATTGTCCTGTATACTTCGATGTTGATTGGTTCTTGTTGACCTTTAAATCATCATTGTTTACGTCTTTATTTCGACATCTCCACCATCTGATAGTCAACATAGAACCACTGGATGAATTTTTCCAAGATATTATAAAAACTTTTGACGCAAGTGAAATTCCTCACTGTTTAAAACTGATTATAATATTTATAGGAAAATCTTTTAAGGACATTTTATGCTTTCAGTGTAAACAAAAATAAAATGTCAGATAATAAAATGAATATTTCAATAAAATTTGAACAATAAATTTCTATTTTATCATTGACTGAAGAATCTTATTGTAATTTGTTTTTTGATTTAACTATTTGGAAATGTGTTTAATAATTTAAAGTACCTAGTATCTTTGATAACTCCACCTGTAACACTTCTAGGGTTACTGATGGTCCAGACACCAGGTAAAGGAGAAGGATTGGACATCGGACCAACATCCCCATCTTGTAGAAAACAACCTTGCTAAACCAGAATAAACAATTCAAACCATTTAAACTCTGTCCTCCGACATGAATCATCATCATTAAGAAGAATTATAACGCCTCATGGTGAAAACCTATTGTGATGATTAGAAGTATTCGAATTATTGTACGAACAAGGAATTTCAGAAATAACACGATATAGACCAAAGAGAACTAGATGAACACGAACTAACTTATTGTACTTTAAATTCAAAATCAGGTAGTCATCAAGTACAAAGGAATCATTATTTCATACAGACACTACACCTATGCTCCTCCACGAGTAGAAATAAGCATAAGTAAATATGTCCACTTAATAAATTTAGATAGTGTTATATATGAAGATGAAGATTATCAGAACTATATGATTTATATTAGTGAACAATCTGATCACGAGTATACTTATTAAGAAACAATTATATAATAAAAATAGGTCAAATGTATTGCGCCAATTTATATATATATACCATCTGATAAACTTCGTCTCCTTTATACACTATGCACAACTCATTATTGTTTATTAGGTAGATGTGTAAAGAAATTAATAAAAACAATAATGGTATTCAAAAGACCATGAAAACTTCTAGTTTTTCAATATAAGATCATTAAAAAATAATGAAAGAAAACTTATTATACCTAATGAACTAAATGATGTTAACTTAACTGATTAGTCACATACATTAGTTTTCTACTCTAAGTACAAATTCAATTGATTTTAATGGAATTTAATTAAATCAGCTGGTCATTAAAAGAAGAGATGGAAGAAGAGAAAAAATCCATTAGTACATACATTTCTTGTTATAACCTAAGAAATTGACTGTTCAAGATGAAAAAGTTCAATGGTACATGCATGTTTTAAAAATTTACAATGGAAACTATTAAAATGCCCTATTTTGATTGATTTCGGTAGTAGTAGTAGTAGTAGTAGTAGTAGTAGTAGTAGTAGTAGTAGTAGTAGTAGTAGTAGTAGTAGTAGTAGTAGTAGTAGTAGTAGTAGTAGTAGTAGTAGTAGTAGTAGTAGTAGTAGTAGTAGTAGTAGTAGTAGTAGTAGTAGTAGTAGTAGTAGTAGTAGTAGTAGTAGTAGTAGTAGTAGTAGTAGTAGTAGTAGTAGTAGTAGTAGTAGTAGTAGTAGTAGTAGTAGTAGTAGTAGTAGTAGTAGTAGTAGTAGTAGTAGTAGTAGTAGTAGTAGTAGTAGTAGTAGTAGTAGTAGTAGTAGTAGTAGTAGTAGTAGTAGTAGTAGTAGTAGTAGTAGTAGTAGTAGTAGTAGTAGTAGTAGTAGTAGTAGTAGTAGTAGTAGTAGTAGTAGTAGTAGTAGTAGTAGTAGTAGTAGTAGTAGTAGTAGTAGTAGTAGTAGTAGTAGTAGTAGTAGTAGTAGTAGTAGTAGTAGTAGTAGTAGTAGTAGTAGTAGTAGTAGTAGTAGTAGTAGTAGTAGTAGTAGTAGTAGTAGTAGTAGTAGTAGTAGTAGTAGTAGTAGTAGTAGTAGTAGTAGTAGTAGTAGTAGTAGTAGTAGTAGTAGTAGTAGTAGTAGTAGTAGTAGTAGTAGTAGTAGTAGTGTATAGTATTCCATTTCCAAACGAGTTCAAATATATTGTTTTATTTTCCTATGATTTGGCATCGTCATTTAACATTCCTAATAGATGAAATCAAACTTTCTGTTTGTTATTTTATTTATTAGCTACATGATAAAATATGACAAGGAAATCGAAATGTTAAACTCATAATACGGTATATACTACTGATGTTGATAGATATAAGTAGTATGTATCACCAGTCGAAAGTGATATGCTTGGTTGCAGAAGGTTGAGAAGATCAAAGAGAAAAGGACGAGAACAGAGAGTAATTAGTATGGAAATGAAGGGACAATAAAGTTTGAGACAGTCAATGAATATTTTGCAAATGAAGTATTTAATGTATGGTTCTCAGATTTTACTAAGATATTCTGTAATTCTATATCCTGATACATTTACTTGTCTTCACTTTTATTCTCGTCCATTACATCGTCACTTTCTCATTTGGAGATGATTTAGCATGATGAATTATTTGGAAGATTATTGTTTATAGGGATGATGGATTGTTCAAATGACGGTGGAACTTTGTAGCTTCAAGTAGAAGTATATTGTCATTAATCACAATGAAAGCTCCACAATTAAACTGTCTAGCTCACGAAACACAACACCACCAAAATGATTGATTATTTTATATCAAACAAACACTTTATATCATGTTATCAGAAACAATCCATGTTAATGCATACATACATATTTGACTACTTTGAGTACTGATATATTTGAGAGTTTTTCATATGCTTCATATTTTTCAAAACAAAAAGGAAAAGAATGGTCAAATTCATTATTCATTTTAATCCATTCAGAGTAAACTCAATATCTTCAGTATATAAATATAAATTGTTTTTTACAACAGTTTAATGAGTTCCTTTATTATGTGACTTTACTGACTAATAAACTAATGATTCATTTGAACGGGGTTTTATGGAGGCTGGTTTCATTTGTACCTAGTATTAATTACAGATGTATTTTTTTTTGTATTTTAAAGTCGATCATCAAATGATCTTTTCTCAATATTTATTCATTATGTCACTATTATCACCGGAAATAAATAAATTAGTCAATGCATATGTTTTGGTAACTATGAAAAGTTAACTCAGTCATTCTTTTCTATGCTAGTAATCAATGAGAAACATATAACAATTTATTATTCTTATTACAAAGATTGACTGAATTTTATCGAGCAAAAGAAGTTTTAAGCTCGTATAGTATATCCATTCTTGTGCAGAAGAACCTATAACGAATAAAAATTATGTAAATTTGTAATGAGAACAGTAGTATTAGGGTAGAATTGAAGGTTCACCAAACTATATTTAGCTTCCAATATTCGTTACTTTGTGGTATTTTTCTGGTAATCAATATGTTTATCTCAAGTAAACATGTTCTATTTGAAATGGTAAGTGGAACTGCTGTTGAAATATAAAATGTCAACTCAAATGTATACTCAAAACTTAACTCATTGTTGATAATAATTCAAGATATTGAATTAATCCATCAAAGTAGTCAACAAGTACGGGTTTGTGTACTTGATCATGAGGCACAAGTTTTGAGTCAAGGCTATTAATACTACCGGGCTGCTAGCACTGAAAAATAGATAGTGAACTTCGAATCTGGGATGTAATAATTGAAAGCCTATCAATTTATTCTCAAACCATGAATCAGTATTTTAATCTTATAAGCATTCAAGCTAACCTAATCACCCAAACCAAATATAGAGATCTATTTTAATTTCAATCCATTACCTAATTAGTCGAATTCTTCTGAAATTAATACGACAACTATTTGTGAATGTTAATCGATTTGAAATCGTCCTACATTATCGACTAATATCAGGTGAAGAATATTTTAAAGAAAAAACAGGATAAACGATTGACCGGAGTCGGAAATGAAAACCGTTAAACATAGACTCACTAATCTGAAGGATTTATGATCACTGCTATGTCTAAAGGTTCTGGATTAAATTTTGTATAGGATTTTGTGATTAAAAGTCAAAATTTAAGACAAAGAAGCTATAAAACATTCCCCAACTTTCAATCTTTCTTTGTGTGATAATAAATTATAAAAACTTTGAGAATTACCAAGGTAATAACAGTCAATAACGTCGTAATCTCTCAACAGTATAATACACTTTGTATAAAAATTCTTTGATTCAACACGTATGTGTTACAAATAAACAAAGTTATGGTGAAGAATGAAATGATAAATATATGAGTACAAAAATGCACTGGAATATTTTTGTCCAAAAGTACTTTAAGGATTCAAGTCCAAATATGTGGTGACTAGTCACAGAATTCGTGATATTCATTTCATATTCAGTGACATTAATGGTCAAGATAATGATAAAAACACTGGATTTGTTTATCATCAGAACCATCCCAAGTGTAATGTAACATTAATCGTTTGTAGATAGAAAGCAATGAAAATAACATCAGAAGTATATTGTAATTATAAAGGGTTGTATTTATCCCATCGTTGATGTTCAGGACAAGATTTTAATCAGTCTTTATCAGTATATGTGATTTCTTTACGGATGTTCTTGAGATAGCTATTTGGTTACAAATTATTTGATATAGACTTATCGTAACTAACAATGGAATGTAGGATGTATGTTTATCCCCGTTACAGATTAGTCAGCTGGATATACTTGCATACCACTGTTGGTGTTCATATTGGGACTCAAATCTAATACCTCTTCCTTCAAACGCCAACACGTTATAATCTAAGCTACTGAATCCAGATAGTCACAATGTGTTTTAAGGCGGTTTCAGGTTTGTGAGTTTCAGTTACCTAGTTATCGATTAGCTATTTGCAATCATATTAATAAAATTCTACATCTCACATAATGAACACTGCGCTTTTCGTAAGAAGTCACGATGGAATATTTAAAATAGGATTTCATTTCATCGTATTACCATTACCGCAATCAGTTACTTTTATTTAATTCACAAAGAAACCTATTCAAAAACTGTTGCCAACGGCCAAACGGACTTTTCGTCCTATTATGCTACTCCTAAGAAGTGTGCATCCACCACCCTGTGACCGGGAATTTAGCCCTCAAATTCAGATCTCACGCACAAACCCCTAACTTCCAGACAACTGGGCCTGAATCTCACAGTGCAGAAGTCTAAAATTAATCAATTCATAATGTTATATTTTCTTCATGGAGTACCGTCCTCATATCCGACGCGACTTCACTCAACTAGTAACAGCTTCGCACCAGAATTCAGCAAATATCCTATTGATGCTATTTACTAGTGACCACGTGATTATTATCAGTACGGGATTGTAAAAGTAGTTGAATTGCATGGAAATTACGAGAGGATCTAAGTTTCTTTATTGCCTCTTATATCAGTAATTCGCTGGTAAAATTAGGCCGACTTGACGTGCTTTTAAAATTTAGCATTAGGTATATATATGTATATATATCACTTACCTTTAACATAAGTAGGCGTTTGTCATGACTGGTACATAGTGATAAAACTGAATTATCTCAAGTACTCAAATTCCATATTCATTTATTTGTATGTACGTCTGTATATATCATTAAATTTTGAAAAAAAGCTTGAAATAAAACGATACTTTGCTCTAATCCAGTCATTATTAACATTTCAATTATGAAATTAAAGGAAAAATACTAGTTCTCATGAAACTAAATCTCACGTATCTACTAAAACCGTTTAGTCAAAGGTAGCATTCATAATAATAATAACAACAATAGTAGCATTTATATGAATAGTCACGATCTATCTCTGCTTATATTGCTTGTAATTTAAGGCAATACCGAAACAATCCACACAGGATGAACATATTTTTATATATTTTTTATTTGGACACACATATATTGGTACAAGAGTGCACCAAATTTATATGCACCACACAAAACAGTGAGAATTCAAAGAGAAGAAAAAAGAAAAAAAAGTAAAGAGGGTAAAAAAATGAACAATAAGTAAGAGATTGGTGTAAGGTAGTGTAATAATAATAGTGGTAATAAAGGGGGGAACGAAAAGATACAATCAGAAGAAATCCTTCATTTAAGGAAGATACAACCATTTTTTATGAAGAAAGTAAGAGAAGGTTACAGCAGGATCGCCACTGGCTTCTATTCTGAACCATATCTGATAACGTCTCTAGCCACTGTGTAGCACCATCTCTCAGACCCCAACCAGGGAGTCGTGAGGGACCGACAGAAGCCAGTCCTTTGCAGCTTTCTTTCATACCCCGACACCATGTCATACAATGACCACCTCCCCGCTTTTTCTAACCAGTCCAGGCGTCGGCGAATAATGCACGACGTGGAATTCTCTGGGACGACATTCATAGAACATGTCCAAGCCACCGAAGTCGGTGTTTCAAGATGGTGACACCAATTGGATTATCATCTCTGTGCCCGAACACACGATGCCGAACCTCTGCATTACTGACATGATGTTGCCACTGGATGTCAGCAATTCTTCGGAGACAACGATGGTCAAACACAGAGAGTCGTCTAACATCCTCAACTCGGAGAGACCAGGTTTCACAAGCATAGAGCAAAACTGCTCTCACCGACGCGTTGCAGATCCGACCTTTTACAGCCAAATTAACATCACGAAGGTGCCAAAGATGGCCCAGATTGGCTTTCACTATACGTGCATTGATCTCATCAGACACATCACCACCAGCACTTATGCAGCTACCTAGATACACGAACTTCTCGACTACTTCTATGTGCTCATCATCCAGGGTGAGTACAGGATTAGAATCCTGTCAGTCTTGTAGAAGTACTTTGCACTTCGAAGCTACAAAGCACATACCATACCTACGGACACTGATTGCCAACTGATTAAGTGCGGATTGCATGCCTTGGGCATTATCGCACAGTAAGACAATATCATCCGCATACTTAAGGTCGAGAAGTCTTTCTCCAGGCAACAGATCCACACCACCATTACTTACATTCATCAGAGCTGTTTTCAGAATGTCATCGATGACAAAGTTGAAGAGGAATGGTGAGATTGGGCAACCCTGCCTAACCCCACTGCTCGAATGGAACAATGAAGAGAGGTGGTTGTATGCCCTCACTCTGCTTGAGGTGTTTGTGTATAGGGCTTTTAGGATGTTAATAAACTTCTCAGGTACACCCTTCTTCAATAGACCATCCCAGAGAACAGTCCTATCCAACGAATCGAAGGCAACCCTGATGTCAAGAAACACTACGATTGTTGGCCTTTGAAATGTATGGCGGTGTTCTAACATTTGTGGAGGGTGAAGATATGATCAATACATCCTCGACCAGAACGAAACCCAGCCTGCTCCTTGCGAGTCAATCTTTCTCGGGTTTTGAAAAACCTATGAAGTATGACGAAAGCCAATAGCTTGGACGCAATCGGAAGTAGATTTATCCCCCCAATAGTTGTTACAGGAACGACGTGAACCCTTTCTAAAGATAGGGACAACTATCGACTCATTCCATGACGCTGGTACACTCTCTAACTCCCAAACCTTTGTAAACAACGTCGTCAATTCCTTAGTCAGAAAGTCACCACCATCTTTAGAAAGAGTCAGAGGTAAGTCATCTGGGCCAGGTGATTTGTAACGCTTCAAGAGCTGGAGTTCCTTGCTGACTTCCGCCTCATTCGGTGGATCAGTCTTCACCGGCCATGGAGGGTGGGACAGTTTGACCGATGTTGCCGGAGCAGCAGGCCAGTTGGACTGCCCTTCGAAAAGTCCTGCTCATCGTCCAAGACGTCGATGGATGTTAGTGATTGGCATCTCATCATCCTCGCAGATTGTTTCGCTCACACCAAACTTCTTGCTGCCAGTGGCTCGGATGAGTTGGAAGAGCTTCCGGTAATTACCAGATGCCGCTGCTGCTTCCAACTCATTAGCACGCTCCGACAGCCAGGCTTCTCGGTCCTTACGCAAGCTTTGCCCTATTTCCTTACGTAACATCCTTCGTTTGTGGTCAAACTCACGGTCATCCGGAGTAGACCGACGGGCTTCAATGAATTGTAAGGAACCTGAAGAAACCCAGTGCTTATAAGCGGGACCCACAAATGACTGTACCCTCCATTTTCATGGCGTCATGCAATTGCAACCAATGCTCATCTATACTTTTCGGTGGGATGGTAGCTAGCCTAGAGGCTAGCTCGGTTCGATACTTACTTGCAACAGAAGTTGCAACCAACTTGCTAACATCAATCCGTTGGTGGCGGTCACTTCGTTGGCCACTGAAAAGTGAGGTAAAATTGGCGCAGACCAAGGCATGGTCAGAGTCCAGATAGGTACTCCAAAAGGAGCGACAGTCTTGTACACAACCACGCTAGCGGTAGCTGATCGTGATGTGATCAATCTGAGTCCAGGCTTGGGATGCAGAGGGAGGACGCCAGGTGGCACATCGGCGATGACTGTGCCGAGAGTTAGTGCTGGCCAGAAACAGGTTGTGGTCTGTGCACAGTTGCGGTAGACGATCCCCGTTATCTGACCTGTGACCAACGAGTCCCCATCGGCCACCTAAACGACTCTCTTCTGTGCTTAGACGCCTGACCTGAGCATCCAAGTCTCCAGTTAGTACTACAATATCTGTCGAACGCACTTTCTGGAGAAGAACAGTTAACTGGTGGTAAAACTCATCCTTGATTGCATCCGGGCTGCAATCTGTCGGGGCATAGGCGGAGATGACGAAAAGACATCGTTTCTCACGCCGATTTCTCCTCACTTTGATGGAACTTTTTAATCTAACAGCACATAACCGACTGTTAATGGGGATCCAATCGACTAGTGCTGCCTCAGCTCTAGCGCTTAGTGCGACACCAATGCCAGCAAGACCAGACGAAGATGCCACAGGGTCCTAGGATAAGCGCATGTAAAACAAGCTTTTCAAAGCGACAGATGGTGAGCGAATTTGTAGTACTTCACCAGAGTCTTGAATACGGGTCTCGGATAGACAGAAAACATCGATAATAATATTTTCTAAAGATATAGCCAGCCCTATCTGTTGTCCAACCTGCATTGGTGTGCGAACGTTGAAGGCAGCCAGTTTGAATGGTGCATGTGGTTTCAGAAAAACTGCTTCAGTACTCATATTCGGTGGTAACATACAATTTTCAACCGGACAGTAGCTCCAGAACGTTTAGATACAGTCGAATTTCCACTTAAGACGAGCTGCCGTATAAGTCGAAAAAATAAGTATAAACAGAGTGGGAATAAAAGAGGGAGAATAATGATGTAGTAAATAATAACAATAATAATAATAATAATAATAGTGCGAGTCACTTGATTGTTCTTTGGAGCGAGAGGAATATTTTTCATAAGTAGATAGTTTATCATGTGTTTTGTGTGCGGGCTGAGCTACTGCCTGGGTGCCCCGACCGAAGCAGGTGGTTTTCTTATTAGGCCACACCCCTAGCCTTTGACCTAAAGGTCTAACCCACAAGGCAGTGGAGCATCGTGAGGAGATGCAGTCCCGTGGCAGCCAGTGACCAACGATTAGTTCACACGCCATTTTTCCCTCAGGATACGGGAGCCCGTGTGCACCATTGGTTTGGGATCCGGTTAAAGCGCCGGACATTCGCTTTTCGTCCTCTCACTTTTGTAAACAACACACCCGCCACGAGAATGCAGTGAGAAGAACTTCCCTGGCAGTGGCTGTATACGCGTGGCCGTGTGAGAGTATTTCGAGAGGGAGGGCGAACCCACCCCGCTCTCGGCCATGCAAGGGCCAATAAGAAACCGATCAATTACAGTCCTAAACGTCAATGGGAACATTCAAACATCCAATACAAAATGAATAAGAAATTCTCTATAAAAATAATGTAGAAGTTACATTTGAACTCTCACGGGTAATCTGTCAGCCATTCGAAACTTAAAATATTCTCTACCGAGATAAATGACTGACTAATTGAATTCATAAACACCACTAAGTTATTTATTTATTTATTTAAAACACGCAACCGAATGTGTTGGCTAACCCCTGAGACAGAATATTTTACAAGAAGGAAAATTACACTGTTATTCCAATTTATACCTCTCTATACTTTCTTGTCACTGTATGATATTTGTCAACGCATGTATCAGCGTTCATTCATTATGATTTTAATTCACGAATTACAATAGAAGGAATCATTTTCAATGGAAATCGTCATTTAATATAAAAGTATATACCATTTGTATATATATTGCATGTTATGTATGCTTGAATACTGATTACCACGATGCACAATGTTGACCAGTGTTGGAGATAGTTGGAAGAAAGTTAGGGACAGCCAAACCAAAACGTGTCATCAGTGTTTGAAGTCACTAATTTCTGGTTGAAGTTATGTTGGTAGATGCAGACTACTTGATTGGGGTCTGCATGGCTATGTTAACCAGTGGTTGGAGACTGTGTGTGACATGGGTCAGAATCGATCCCAATGACGTCGGTGTATACACTCTCAATCCTCATTTAAAATGTTATATAATGAA